ATTTTAGCAATAAACCAGCCTTTGACAAGGCCTAAGAGACTATAGTCCTCTTTGATACATCAATTTTTATATTTGAATTCCTGGCTCTCTGAGAGCATCACTGCAGAAAACACCTCATCTGTTTTTGGTATTGTCCAAAGTCTTTCTGTCTTAACTCCAATAGACGCCCTACTCAGAGCTACACCGACTTTGGTGGAAGCTGAGCAATCCCCAGCAACGGACTTCCACCTTGAGTACATACGGAGTCCCCCTAGAATGGAAACGCAGCAGCCTCCCGTCAAAGAGCGGTGTGTGCTGCGCAGGGGCCTGCAAGCCCTTGGTCAGGACTCTAGGACATCTAAAAGGTTGAAGAAATCTGAGAAGCAGCACATACAGCTGATGGCACTTCTGCTCAGTTAAGCGCATGAAGGAGTATCCAAACACAGGTATAACCACTTGGCCTTTCTCACTTTCAACATAAATTAGGTTTCTTTTTTCATAGCCATTTGCATGAAAATAGTAACGACCAAAAAGAAAAATTAGTTCTACCGTGTTTTATTTGACATGGTTGAAGACACACGAACACTCAAGATACAATCCAGACAAGTTGTGAACAGCTCCAAACATCAGTGAAATCTGAATTTATCTTGCACAGAGGTGAACAAGACCACAATGGTTGGTTTTATCATATAGTTTAAGACTATTTCAAGCAGGTGAGTACTGTGACGTTATGCCCACCAACTTTTATACTATTCATCCGCTTAAGCCACTTCGTATCATAAATATGCAGCTTATCTTGGCGATTAAATCTCTGCAATATATAATTAGCCTTCTCATAATAATGCATTAAAACTCCTGTATTCAAATATTGGTATATTCATACCAATGTAAACTGTCCTAACCATCACTGCACATTTATCATATTCTAGCACAATTAATCGTTCTATCACACTTAGCTGCTAACTTTCAGCCTAGAGTTAAGTAACTTGGACCCAAACTTGCAAGCTGTTGCTTATAGCAAAACTTCTGCCAAGTCCTTCTGCTTTCCCTTAGGATAGCAGGCCTTGTCTTTCCAACATTAATTTGCACAATGTCATCTGAAACCCCTACCAAAAAAATGCTCTGCAGGGAATCTCCTGCAAAAGTATCAGAGCTACTATTCTAAAAATTACTCATTTCCTAATAAATATCATATTAATTTCACAGCCTAACATCCTTTATCAAAATGGGCATCCACATGCCACTTGCGATGTAAGGTTGTTTAACTGGCTTATAGACTACAGACCACAGCATAATATTCTACTTAAAATTCTAATTCCTTAGAGAGACAAGCTAATTTTCCATTCTTAGATTTAAAAAGGGCAACAAGGACAGCTGGGAGTTTGTTCAGTAGTTCAGTGCTTTGCAAACATAAGCTTGATAGTGCTCTCAACAGACTCAATGAGGAAGTGCAAAAATATGCAAACTTCATATTTTACAGTGACAGTAGAGTCATTTCAGCAACAGACTCCTGCTTGGATCCAGTTGGAATCTTACAAAAGGGGAAGGAGAAAGGACAGAGAATCACTACTGTGTGGGGAACTACGCTTCAGAAGAGCTGCAGAAACCACCCTCAGCATTCCCTGCAGACAGGCTGAAACCAGCACAAAAATCATGGGCCACCTGATCTTGCAGTTTGCCTCCTCTCTGGGGGACAGACAGGAGGTCGCAGTCGTTTATTAGACCAAGCTCTGTGTTAACCTAAGGCCACCGGAAACAAATCTGTGCAGAATTGGACCCATTCAGTTTAATACAGGACGCAAAGACACTGAAGCCTACTTTATGAATTTTGTGTTTTGGTAGGTGGTAGTGGTAGACAGAGACTGGGTCTTACCTGCAGCTATTACAAATCAGTGTTGCCTGGCTTTAGAAAGTAGTTTTGTGTTTGTTTTAACTAGGGAAGATCCTTAACAAAACTCCAAAACATAGTGAAGAAGCTGTATATCCAGATCATATACTTCAAATTTTAGCTTGGTTTTACAGGAGGATTCATCCATTATTATGATGAACTGTTGGAGATGGAATGGTCACCATCTGAAACAAAGAAATGAAAATCCCAGCAACATACTCGTGCATCTGTGTAATATGCTTAAGTGGTACGACTTGCGTTGCAGGAAGAATCTTGTATTCTCTGACACACCAACATTTCTTTCCTATTATTATAAGATCAGCCTTTTACATTTCATATCTCACCATCTTTAAAAGCCTATAATTACAGAAGCTGATTGAGAAACTATGTTATTTAAAATTAACAGCTGAATGAAATCAAGAGGCAAAGAGCATTTTTATACAAGAAAATAGCACTGTAGAAAGAAAGAGTCTGTACAATATTTAAATATTGTATATACATAAAATTATATTGTTCATAACTCATCTTAAAGTTTCTCTTGTTTGTAAACCATGGAAAGCAACACGCAAAAATCCCAGTATTTAGCTTTTAAAGCATTTAGCAGGCAGCAGGAAACTGAATGCTAGCAAGCACACTTTGTAATTATAGAAAGTATCCAGCCAGATAACTGTGACTAGCATTCTCCATAGTCTTTTTTTTTCTTCTTTTTTTTTCCTAAAGCTGAATGCAGAACAGATTTCACATTCAACTAGGGAATTCTGCAGAAGACACAGAAAACTCAATGGCAAAACGCAGTGGACCAGTTCTGCAGCTCTTTACTGTGGCAAAACTCTAGGTTAAACACAGAAAGCTTACGTGCAGGACTGGAATGTAAATTAGTGAAGTAATTGATAAAGCCTTCATTTCTGACAAGTGTCGGTAATGGATTTAACTCATGCTCAACTTATTAGAAAGGAAGGTTTAATTTAACAATTAACATTGCAAAGTTTCAAAAATGCAATGAATTCCAGCAGGTAATCACGCAGCTCTGTATAAGTGCTCTGAAAGTGTCACCATTTCAGGGAGATTCTACATGTTAGTATCAGTCTGCCAATTTGGAGTAGGACTTGGATCAGAAGTTGTCAATTCATGGCAGATACCATGCAAAATAAAAACTGTTCCAGTTGCAGAAGAAATTTTCCAGGTGCACATGCTTAAGAAAGCATTTCCAGAAAGTTATTATTTAGCAAGCAAGATGCTATCATGACCATCATTGCATTTCACCTGCATTAAAGTTGTGTGCTGATAGCCACGTCAGGAATGCTTCATTTAATGCTATTTGTAGTTTCAGTCTCTTGACTTCTGCCTTCCACTTCACTGGCCATTCCACTCAACCCACAAATATATTATACTCCATTAAAACGTTTGCTACGCAAAAGATATTAGGATACCGTTGATCTGGACATTTTCTCTTTTAAATTGTTTAAATCTTCCAGCCATCATCTAGTTGTAATTCCAAATTTTAACACAGGGATTAACAAGAAAAGAAATATAATCACTTGGAGAAGTGCTTAATAAACCAGATAGGTCAGAGAGACCTTGACAGGATAGAGAAACGTGCAGACAGGAACCTCATAAAGTTCAACGAAGGGAAATGCAAAGGGAATAAGCCCCTGCACCAATATGTGCTGTGGGCCAACTGGCTGCAAGCAGCTTGGCAGAAAGAGGTCGGGGTCTTGGTAGACACAAAGTCGAGTGTGAGCCAGCAATGTGCCCTTGCAACAAAGAATGCCAATAGCCTCTGGGATGCATTAGGAAGAGCATTGCCAGCAGGTCAAGGAAAGTGATTGCTCCTCTTTATTCAGCCCTGGTGAGACCACATCTGGAGTGTCAGGTCCAGTTCTGTGCTTCTCAGTACAAGCGAGATATGGACATACTGGACTGAGTCCAGCAAAGCGTCATGAAGATGATTAAGGGATTGGGGTATCTGTCATGTGAGGAGAGGCTGAGAGAACTGAGACTGTCCAGACTCAAGAAGGCTCAGGGGATGCTAGGAATGTGTGTAAACGCCTGATAGAAGACAGTAAGGATGACAGAGCCAGACTTCTCTGAGGTATCCAGTGAAGGAACAAGAGGCAATGGGCACAAATTCCTTCAAGAATTCAATAAATTCCTTTTAAATGCAGGGAAAAACTTTTTTGCAGTGAGGGTTGTCAAACACTGGAACAGGTTGCCCAGAGAAGTTCAGATATCTCCATCTTTGGAGATATTCAAAACTGGACAGAGTATCCTGCTCTTGCTGATACTCCTCAGAGCTGAGAGGTTGGACCAGATAGTCAATGGATGTCCCCTCCAACCTCAACTACTCTGTGATTCTACAATTTCAGATGGAGACTAGTAAAAGTAAGTTTAGACAACTTAATAATTTTTGAAATATAATGAGGGTAATGCTAGCTATTTAATCCAACAGCTATTTCTGAGAGCTGTGACAGTAAAGGCCTTGTTTTCAAACTGGAGCAAACAATACTAGGCTCCTAATACATATATTTTTCCTAAATCTAATTTTAAGCATTTGTGAGGATTTTGTTTTCAGTGAGATCTCAGAATTTAAGAAACTCAGTTGCCATTTCTTTAAGTCATTGATTTTCAGCACTTAAAATTTTGAAAGCACAAGGCAAAATCAAAAGAATGAAAGAATTCTGGAGACTACTAATTTGTTCCCATTGCCAGAGGATGGTGCTGTTTAAAAAGATACCCCACACAGACAGGCCCCCTACAACAAACACATGGGTTAGAGTTTTTCTTGGGAGGAAGAGGAAGAAGAACAAGAACAAGAACAATGCAAAGAGATTACAATTTCATATCTTTTAAATTAATCTTCAGGACTCAACAATAATCAGTATTTACTTAATACAGGTAGATCTTTAAGCATGCTTGAGTAACTTGGGAACTTTTACTACCTCTGGAACTTTTGCTCCCACAACTTTTTAAAGGTCTTTCAAAATCCAGTCTTTGGTCATCGAAGGGCACAACCATTACATACCCCACCTTCCTAGCTGTTCTCATACAGCCTGCTGAAATTCAAGTTGATTATGTGACATATGAAAGTCAAAAATGGAACAGTGGAATATCAGTCTCACAAACAGGCTGTGGTGGGGAAAATGGGCTGTTAGTAGTTTAAGAAATCAATACCAACTTTGACACTTTTAGAGGTGGCAACATCAATGGCCATGGCTTTGATTTCAGTGTCCCCAAACTGCATAAGCGTTTTGATCTCCCGCCGGTTTGGCACTGCAGCATCAGTTCCCGTGAGATCCAAGCGAAGGGTGCCACACTTTTTCACTCCAGATTCAGTGATGAAGCTGACATTATCTTGTTCTGAGCTATAGATATTGATCACTATTACTAACTGAGAAGGTTTGGCAGGCGTGTAACTGCGTGTCACAGTTTCTCCAAGGGCTACAGATTGGTCGGCTGAGATAAATTTGTCAAAGACATCAGTGCACCAGCGTGTGCCATCTTTGACCAGCAGCTTCTCTGGTGGATGCTTCCCTTCCACAAACCGGTTGAGCACACCCACACCGTAGGTGAGAGGTGAACGCCGCACTTTGATGACAGCAGGGTCTAGACCAAAGAGAACAGCTCCTTTGAGGATAGTGAGTCCCACATCCTGAGGAATGATGACTCGACATCTTGAACCAAAAGCACTCTGGACAGCTTGTTGGAGTAAGGGGGATTCAGCGAAGCCACCCACCAGGAACAGAAACTTGACATTGGTCACTTCTGGCTTATCAAACACATCACCTAAACAGAAACAGAGCCCATTCAATAGGGAAAAATCCACTGTGACAAGGCAATGCAGGTGAAACTCCTAATGCCTGAGTGCACTGAATGTCCCATGCACATGCACAAGATCCAAAACTGCCACATCTATGCCCACACTGCAACTCTCAGCATACACTAATTCCACTTCTGCAGTCTCTTCTATACTCTGTCTCACTGTGAATGGAAGCTTACCTCAAAGCATACAATATTTCTGAAGCGGCATTTAAAACAGAACTTTCATTTAGCTTCTACTAGCAAAGGGAGACATGGATTTCTTGCAAAGAAATCCTGCCAGTCGCATTATGTGTGGTAGGGAAATGACATCATCTTGCCACTTTACCTATCAGTGAGATACTCCCAAGCCTGACTCACACACCCTTTATTGCATTCCATGTAAGTCACCTCGTTTCATATTCACTTATTATTTCTGACCCTAACATCTTAACCACAATATGTAACATCTGCAAAATAATACCTCCTTACATTTTCACAGATGGTCCTTCTTAGCTCAAGCTCACATCCCCTGCTTTCAAGAAAATCACACGGTTCAGTTGCAGGCTCACCCTTAGTTCAGATGAGGCACCATGACTGAGGTATCTGTCACAACTGCTGTAATCCTAGACCTCTGCCTCCCTGCTTACATATGAACTGTTCTGTACTAGCCATCTAACCAGACTGTGACCTCTCAAGTTTAGCTAGTAACTCCTCACATATAGCAAGGAAAGCTGGATATTCCACTCCAAACACAATTCAATTAGTGCTCTGTAATGTGTAGAGCAGCAATACTTTGCTCCGTACATATATTGTACTCTACTTGATACAAATACAATCTTTCAACAGGAAGACTTTAAATACTAAATTTCCCAATAAGCCTATGTCACTTCCTATTACTGGGTAAATAAATTCAGTGCTGCTTAAGCCATGCCTGGAAGCGTTTTTACCATGATGCATCATTTATTATTCGTGATCTGGTCAGTCAGGAGTAAATGTGACTCTACTTTTCTCCTTTCACTGAGGAGAAGTGAACTAGAGGTCTTAGTAACAGGAATAATCAGAAACTAGTTACGTCTCTGGCATTATTTAGTGGTTGCCTGAAACAGGAAAAAGGAAAGCAGTATCTGGGTCAGTCAGGGCATTTCAGGCTTCTGAATGCTTACAGTCTGGAAGTACAGAATAGCAGGAATATGTGTTAAAATGATGTCTCTTATTTTTATTATTTTCCTAACTACTTTGTAAAGAACTACAAGTTTCAGAACTAAATTCCTTGCCCACATTTGGTGAGTAGTAGGGGGGTTGTGTGATTTCAGTTCCAGTTACGGGTTTGAAACAGGTTAGCAAAGCTTCAGTTTCAGCTCAGCCACTTTAGAAAGTGGAATTACGCACTGATACGTACTAAGGTGCTGAACAATCTGGTCAATCGTAGGTTTGAAAAGAGCATTCATTGCATCCGGGCTCATCCTCAGCATTCCCTGGGAGGACCACTTCACAAAGTCCACACTGGAAAAGAACAGAAAGCACATTAAAACATTACAGCTGAGCTGTAAGAAACAGTCAAGCACTCACAAGACACACTAAATAAATAAATAAATTAATGAGTTTACAGAATCTGCATGTTTTTTGCTTAGAAGAAAGTGCCTCACCTCACCCTAGCCCCATACCAACTGCAGCAATGGAAAATTTCAAAGGAGAATTGTTATTTTTGCTTGTCTAATTGTTGTTTTCTTTGCCTGATTGCCTTCTGTAGCATTATTAATGCTCAGCTGCTTCCTGAAACAGCTGGCAGCCAATCCAGTGCTCGCTCATCTGAAACTGCACCGATTCATCCCCAGAAGAGCAACATTTAGATTATAGCAGTAGCAGGCCAAAGCCACCGGAAACACACAAGGAAAATGAGCAAGTATGGGAAGCCTCAGGAGGCAGAAGGGAGCACAGCATTTTTAATGAGGCATAACACTTGTTAAGTGAATACAGGCATGATGTTACGCCATCACTGACACACATCCATACAGCTCAGTAATCTCCTTTTCACTCATGCACATTATATGTCACCTTTATACTCTATCCCGTTATCCAGTTAATTTCATCTTATTTGAAGGGAACAGTTACCACTCCCTACTTCAATATTAAGACTATTGATAAGAAGGAGATGGTCTTGTAAGGGGGAATATTTGCAGAGATTTTTAATGATTTCAGAACCTCATTCTCATTTAGGAAGTGACTCCGAGCTGGACTCCAAGTCATTTAGGCTTAAAGTACATTTGCCAATTACTTTAGGAAGAGATGTAGGAGTTTCAGCCCACAGGCTACATTCAGCATTCACTGGACTAAAAATGCAGAAAGAATCCAAGGTATAGGTGCTAAACATCACGCCTTCTGCTCTCTGGCCCCAATCTGCCCCTGATTCACAGGCGCTCTTGTTCATTCTCTTTGATGTCACTAATCTCAAGGTCTCCTGTAGTACATAACTTCGAAAGATGCAAAATGTTCACTTCTACTTGCTCCTTACTTCCTTTTGTGCAGCAGCCTGTGACCTTGTCCTTTAGGGTGCTTTCTTGATCAGGAATTATAAAATCTCTGCAGGGAATTACATCTCCCCATCTACTGAGCAAGTGATCTAACTGCAACATAGTAGAAGAAAGCCTGCCATCACTTCAAAAGAATGTTTTCCTCTCACTGAGCTCTACACAATAGTATATGTTTTCATTGGTGGTCTTGTATTGTTCATAACCTTCCTCAGGTCGTTAATACACTTGCACATCTCACTCAAGATCTTGGATTTGTTCCAGGATGCAGGCCTCTAAAAATTAAGGTTCTAGGTAACTAACTTTTAGACATCAAATTCTGTATTTGATCTCATCTTCCTAATTAATACACAAGAGACTCAAAATATATGGTCAAATTCAGGACAGTGACGCAGTGGCGGCCTAACAAAAGACACAGAAAGCAATACCGGGAGAGTGAAAGTCTTGTCTAGAAAAACTTTTGCAAGAGATTGAACAGAACTTTCCATTCTGGAAAGTGCACTTCAGGGAATCCCATTTTCTCATCCTTACGTTACATTTTTACATTATTATCTTTCAGTCTACATGTAATTAAGATATTTTGATTATTTGTCTTTGCTATCAGTAGTTAATTCTGCATCCATTTGGATTCAATTGTCTACTCACTTGCTTTTCCTCAAGGCATGTTCTACACTGTGACCTCGAAACTTCTTGTAATAGTCAATGAAGGAGAAAGGCAGAGTGATGTTTAGTGGATTGGTTCTGTCTGGAGATGCTGCCCGTTTACGAGACTCAAACGCTATCATCAGATCTACCCAGGCGGCAGGACGCTTGATTTTAAATTGCTCAATAAAATCTTCTCCAAATATTTTACACAGGAGCTTTTCAAATTCATAGTCCACACCTAGAGAACCATATGGTCCACCTGTATTACAAACAAAACACAGCTTTAATATTCTGAACTGCTTACTAGATTTCAAGCTGACCAAACAGATATCAGATTGACACTACTAGGACTGCCACAGGAGAAGGTCTACAGAAAGAGGTAGCTTTTATAAATAAAACAGTTGGTCTAATACAGAACATAATCTTACCTTTGCTTCACTTTTACTCCTATACCATCATAGCCACTGTAACATTACCACTATAAAACAGAAACATTTTTATTAGAAGCAAAGGAAACTGCCTCCTTATCCACACATGAGAAGGTGTGAGTTGGGCTCATATTCAGAAGTAGATAGACTTGATGTACAGTATCCCATTTGCTCTTACTAGGTTGTTTCATGAGGTAGTCTTCCAGCCACCAAGACTGAGAACACTCAGTGATGAACCATACACATGAAGACTAACTCAGTATGGAGACATGAGAACAAATAATGGGTTGTCTCATGCAGGTAACAGCTTAGTTACAGGACAAAGTCAAAGGGGATCTTGAGTTCAGGATGGGAATTCCATTCAAGGAATTGCACTTAGTATCTTTCTTGCAGACCAATCACTGTGCATTTTTCCCAAGGGATTGTGGATCCCTCTTGTTAAACTGTATGTGAAATTACTGGAATATATAAGCCTCCCTTTAAATCTAGGGAAACTTCTGTCAGGCCAACAGTCACGTTATAAGGATCTTGTGACACTCAACTATTCATATCTCTACAGTACAGCTCTGAATACCTGGACAGAACAGCAATACACAGGTGACCTCTCAGAGGAGAGGAAGATGACAACTCTACTAGCAGAAGTCAGACCAGGACCACGTCAGGAGGTCGTGGCCTGAACAGGAGTGTATACCACAGGAGAAGGCAGTTCCTTACCCTTCCAACATGAGGTTTACCATCCCAAAGCATCAGAGGCATTAAGTGATTTACCTTTGTGTGCTGACCAGCAGCTAGGTTATACTAATTTTGAATGCTGCTCTTATTTCAGGAGGAACTGCTAGTTTAATGTACTGAATAATAAAGGCAGACATTTCTTTCACCGACAAGTAAAAAAATTACATAAATAAAGCAAGCAGTGGGAGTGATGTTACCTGTTGCCTTGTATAGCTCCTTAAGATGTCCTTCAGGGAGCCTTATCTGATGGACAGTCATATCCACTGTGCCTCCTCCACTGTCAACAACGATGTAACGGTCACCTAGTTTGCCAAAGGACAGGTAAATGATATTTCCATTAACATTATCACAACAACATATTGCAATGAAAGCTTCTCAGGGACATTATCACCATCAGAGATAATGACTTACAAAAAGTCAGGAACATCTATGCTAAAGACTTGATCTTTTTTAGTTATTATAATGCAATGATTGACAATAAATATGAAAATACGATGTTAAAAGCTATGGATTTAGCACAGATGAAAAGTGGTTTAGTAGAATTGCTCATGCTTCTAGTGTACATTCTAGCAGGTTACCAAATTAATACTATGGCATATTTACAAGGCCTATTCCGAGGAAAATATTCTGGTTGCATTTTAACTCCTGGATTCCTTTCTACCATCTCCTTAATAAATTGTATTTTGCTAGAGCATACAGAATAGCAGCTCAGCCTCAGTAACTAGGAGCAGCACATGAACTTGTATTTTTTTCTTTTCCTATTCATAATCACTGTGAGAACAATGCAGTGCACAGCACATCTGTGGGAAATACAATGCTTGCCTGCAATACAAAACCAGTGAGAGCAAAGTTTATTCAAGAAAGGACACTACCTTCCTCCAGTTCGGACCAGATCTCTCCTATGACATTTTCCACCAAAAAGGTACGACTTTGTCGATTACGACGGACGTGTTCCTTAGCTAGTCATTGACAGAGAAAAAATTACTGAGTACAAGAAAGCATGAAGAAGTTGATATGAAAAGCTGTAGGAAACAAGTGCAAGCAGGCTGACAGATCTGTATGTATCACTTCTTAACAAAACAAACGAACAAAATTATTGCATTAGAATCAGGAATGTTATAATGTTGTCCGAGACAGAAGGAAAAATGTTTTTCAGTCACGTTGATCTTCCTTGATACTAACTGGATTAAAACCAATGACCTAGCGTGAAAGCTACGGCTACACACAAGTCTGAATTATTTTTCTAATATATTCTGGTTTTCAAAGCGCCTCCCGGAAGCGGGAAGGCTGGCAGGCCCTGCCTTTGCCACCAGGCGGCAGCCCCAGCCCGCTGCCAGAGCCACCTGCGCCAGGGAGGCGATCAATCCCCGCGTCTCCAAAAGCCTCATCTAGCAACACTACTAAAACTACTACATCAGTTAACCTACCAGACTTAGGTGCTACTTATCATTTAAAATGTCTAAAAAGATGCAGAACAGTCCATGAAGAGAAAGCTGAGTAGTGAGAGCCTTTGCTATTATGCTTCTAAATCAACCTCTACCACTGAATGATGAAAAAAAAAAAAAATCATTCCCTGTGTAACCTTCACTCACCTTCAAAGGCACTTCTATAAAACAGAAGCAGTAGGAGAGGGGCATTCTGTCACGCATAAAAATATCATTCTTTCTGAAAATATCAGCATGCAAATCACTGAGTGCATTTTGCTTCTCATTTCTCGTTTTTTTTATTTTTCCCCCACTTGCACCCGGACCTTCCCCATAAAGACCCTACGATGCAGCCAATCTGCGTCAGCCTCGCTGCCCTGACTTAGCAGCACACAGCAGAACTTAGAGGACAAGGAATTCAATGACAGAATAAGCACTCGGCCCACGCGAGGGCCTGACACAGAGCCCACAGAAGTCAACAGGAGTCCTTTCGTTCACCCCTGTGGGCTAGAAGTGAACACAAGAGACAGTCTTTAACTACAACTGAAATAAGCTTATCCTGGCTACTGTGAACAGTAAAATTTTTGGTTTGACTTCACAGCAATAACATGGTCCTTGGAATGCTTCTCTCTGTTTATATTTAAAGGGTTTTTCTCTTAATCTGTTCTCAGCTTGTCTTGGGTACCTGCCATGCCTTTATGAAATTTTAATTCTAACCTCAAATTAATTCACTCCAAACTTTGTTTTCATTAATTTTGACATGAAATCTTTCTCATCCCCAATAGCTTTTACCATTCAAAGTCAAGAAGGAGAATGGTACCCCCCATCCAAGAAAAAGCCCGTTAGCAGAAATCCATGATCTGTCAGGTTCTGCCCACCTTCAAAACCTTAACCAGAGAAACTCTCTTACTATTTTCCAGGAAGCAAATTCCTGCATAGCCTGAAAGCGAGTTCACGTAAAATCACGTGGAACTGGAATGGTTCAGGACACAAACAAGGGGGACAGAAGGCAAGGCGCCCCTGAAGGGACTGTGTCCTGTACAGGGATTGTGTCCTGTGCTCTGCGTGGGCCTCCACAACACTGAGCACATCTGACAAGCACTGGCTAGGAGAGGCATGGATTTGAGAGAATGATGTAGTGACTCTGCCTAAGAAAAAAAAAATACCCTCCAGTAAGTACAGGAATAGCTTTACCAGCTTAATCTTCCATCTGCCTATACTGTTTTGACCTAGTAAATGTGATAAAATACAAATTCTTCTGAAAAATTCCTTCTAGGACAGATTGGCACACTACTACCAATATCACTGCAACAGTTAAAACTCACACAGATGGGAAATCTGTGCATTATGCAGCAATCCCACCTTACTGCTCCTTCATTTTCCTTTTTTTTTTTTCTCCCCTATTTTCCTCCAATCTCAGGTAGGATATCAACCTCAAAAATCCTTGGTGACAAAGGATCTTTTGGCAAGTGACTTACACTGTGGTCCAATCTCTGTCCATCATTGTAAGTCAGTCTTCAAACATTGATATTAGCAACAGATCCCAGGCCAGTAAATCAGGAGTGCTGCATCTAGTTGCTTTTCTGCAAGCAGATAAATTCACTGCTGTATTCCAACAGCATGTGTTCCCCTGAGTGTTGAAAATAACTAATGGTATTTCATAAAGATGACATCAAAAAGCATCTATTAAAACTCTGGAACACCTCAGACTAAACATCTCATTGCAGATCCAGCTATTTAACAGTGCTTCAATAGTGCAGCTAATCAAACACGTAATTGTTTCCAACAAATTAAATTTAAAAAACGATCCAACATGAAGTATTGATTTTAAGTAAGGCAGAAAAACACTGTTGTGAAAACACTAAAGGACTCCCACAACATCCCAATAAAGGCAAGGCAATGAAGTTATCTGCGTGCTAAAATTTAAGTGCATGCAGCCATGTCTGCTGGATCAACACCTGAACTACTCAAATTACAGTAAACAGCAAAACAGTTTATAAAAGCAAACTGATGCTTGCTTGAAACATTTCAAGAGAGCAGAGACAACAAGTAACGGTAAGAAAACAGCCCTCATAGAGAAAGCAAATTTAGGCATAAGAATCTAAAGAACTGAGTTAACAGAAGTAGTACCCTGTGTAAATCCAGTTCCAATAGTGTCACTTGGGCTGTAACCATTGACAGGCGCCCTACTACTCAGGTCTATCATCTGGTGCAGGCGGAGCTTTCGGCAGTAGATAGAAGCAGCCTCAGGTTCCAGGGCAATGATCAACTGCTCGGGATTTTCAGGAGATGCCATTCCTGCCTGTGAGAGAGAACCGATCAGAGAAGTGGGGTGGGAAACACCACAACCTATCAGACCCTTTGCAGCAAGTGAACAAGCCTGTCCCCAGCTTGCTATTTCAGCTACGTCAGCCCTGTGCTAAAGGTCTTGATCTGGGAATTGTCCTGGCCACAACGTAGAGCACAACGTCGCAGGCTGTAACAGGGAAGTATGCATGCACTTACCATGCTAAGTGTCTAACGGAGCAGCTGCGTGCGTGACAGGTGGGGAACGGAAGAAAGTTGTTTTGAAACCTGTAATGAACAGCCCAAAACCTGAACTCCTAATTAACGCGTGAATCTGCCTGCTAAGAGGGGCCCCAGCCTCCTTTAAGAAATTAAGGAATACCTTTGGCCTCTCCTCCCCACAACAATATTTTAAGTATGTCTTTCTTTATATCCCACATAGATATACATGGTCCTTGCTGAAATAGACTCCCCGCACCATGCAGCTTATTAGGAATATAAGATACACTTTGCCAGTAATCCATCTTCTGACTTAAAGCCAACACTTTCTATTTCAAAATCATTGCTTTTAAGCTCATCCACTTTCATAACATCTTCAAAACAGTATATTCAAGGACTCAAAACACAATAGGACAGGTTCCCTAAACGTGATGAGAACAAGCCTAAAAATAATCTCACATTATAAAATCAGCATTTGCCATTCTTTCTATTTTCTTTCTGGATTTTCAGCCTCCAGACACATAGATTTTCAAGAAGCCACAAGTTCTCATGTAACCACATCACTCTCAGAGCTGGGCTTAGAGAAAAATATCAGAGAGCAGTTGACAAAATCGTGTTTTTGTTTCTCTTCTCCTGTACTTCTCTCTACTATATGATTTTCTGTTAAAATAGGTAACAATATCTTTCAACTCTCTCTGCCCAGCTTTTGGTTTACCTGCTGCTGTTTTTCAGTTAAGTGCCTGAGTACTAAAGCATGCTAGCAAATACACATATGAACATTTTTCTGCTTCCACAGTCAATCTTCCAGCAATCCTTCACTTCAATCCATACGCACACACTGTGGTGGCTCCAGAGCATCCCCAAAAGAAGGCAGACTAACATCACATGAAAAGACTGCAGACCTGAACTAGAATTTGCCTTCCTTCATACAACAACACAGTGGGCTGTGGAAATTGCTGGCTAGTTTAAACCTGCAGCTAGAAACTCAAAGTAAAGCTTGTTCAAAAAGCAACACTGGTGTAAGACTTGGAGACATAAAATCATCCTTCACATTTAGTGACTCTTTTGCCCTCTCCATCTTAGTAAGTAAGAGAAATAGATTTTTATAGAAAGCATCTTCCTCATTGTTGATTACAGAAAAGGAAACACAACAACAAGTAATTTCCAAAATAAGAAAGTAAGGGTTATACTAATCATGGTTGCTCTATTATTTTAAAAGCACACCTCATGGTTGGGATTACAGTCACTTTACACCCTTTATTGCTATTGAGCAAAACTTCTTGCTTTGGTTACATCTACTGGACTCAACAGCATGATCTGAAACTAGTGGAACTGTCTGTGAAGGAAAACACTGTGCAAATACCACAGAATATCAGACCTTGCCAGCTATGTGGCAACACATATTGAAAAAATATTATACTGAAAAGAATGTTTGCAAACTTTCAAAGTTTGGAAAACGCAGATTTACAGCAGCCAGAGTAACCCTGAAAGATAGAAAAAGACTATCAATCAAGCACGAGTCCCAGCCAGACTCTCCCGCCATCATACCACTGGCATGCAAGCAAGTTGGCAGGCACAGGCTTAGACAAAACTCCGGAACTGTACTGGGAGTGAAGTTCTTGCACTGTGCCTTAGTATAAACCCAATCTTTCCTCCAACCGGTCTGGATGTACTAGGCACAAGCGGGGCTGGTTTCACGCCAGCTCGCTTCAACATCACTTATCTCCAGCTGAGCTGTTCTACACATAAAGCTCTAATTTGTTGCATTGCAAAGGGCAACATGCAAGATATGAATCAATGCTTGGTCCCTGACAGATATTTATCTCATCTGTTAAAGAATTCCAAAAACGTACAGTCTCTGCACACAATCTCAGCCCTTTCCTGTCTTTGCCTTTGGGAAGTTTTGCTAAAAGCCTAATCTGAATCTTGCAGCAATTTTAAGGCCAGCACTTCTTGCCCTATGCAATAAGGGTACGGAGAACAAATACCTCCCTACCACCCTGCTGCAGTTTTCATGTAGATTAAATCCATTATCATGTCCTGTAAGACCTCTGGATCTGAGCAGCAAGTGTTGTTTTTCTTTTAATATCCAGCAATGTGGATGAACTTAGCATGCTCAGGCTGCTTTATGCTCTGGGCACATGTTAGCAGCACAGACAACGCAACTCTTAGTCTCGTGTCTAACCTACGCACTAAAAGAGAAAACTATATTTTAGGGAAAAAATAGTTTGTTGCTAAGGATATTAAAATCCAAAGGCTACATCATAAAGTACTCGCAGAGGTGACAAGAACTGAGTTGCACACACTGGGAATGCACTGCTATTTCCTAACTTGAGACGAGGGAAAAAAGACTGTATTAATTGCAAAGTCATCTGTTCTAGGGGGGGATTTTGGTACAAATGTCCAAGGCTGGTTCTGCTAAAAGAAAACAGTTAACCATTAACAATAACACTTGCTTCCTCCCCTCCTCCAGCAGTAGTCTGTACCATGAACTTTTCACATTGCAGCCTGCAGCATGTCAGGAGAGGAAGGCAGTGACCTGCAGCGGATGGACTCAGATCCATGTTCTCAGACCCTCCAAGTACAGCAGATGCTATTCTTGCTACTTTTTCTCTCTAGATGTTATTTTAACATACTCAAAATATCTCCCGAGGAAAACATTCAACAGAAATGACAGTTTTTAACAGTTCAAAGCACAGCTGATCCTAACAGAATTTCATGAAGAAAATGGGTTTTTCTGTTAAAAAGCTTTCCTTCCAGAGTTTAAAGGGCCAGTCACGATGAAGAATGCGTTCTTTCACATCATAAAAAGACCACAGAAAGAATCTTGTACAGTGAAAGGCACTAGGCATCCATCATAAATGAATATTTATACATATATATGTATGGATCAGTATTGATTGTTTCATACCTTGTGTATGTAGTATTTCTACTCAGATCATCAGAGACAGCAGATTACTGTACATAGATATACGTACACACAGCACAGAGAGAATGGAGGAAGGGGAGATGAGAAAGAAAGATGAACACACACATACTGCTAGGGAGGAATGGAGCAACGAGGTTACTTTAATACAAGCTCTGAGAAGATGAAGACAGGAGGTGTTACCTCTGTCTCGTCATTACAGCCAAGGAGAAAGGGACAGATGGGAGAAAAATACTGAGCATGCAGAGAAAGAGGAGTGAAAGCAGCAGGCGGTTAACACAAAGAAACGATGATGCATCCACTAAAAATATTAACTGTAGAAGTGTGGCAATTTGCTGTATTTTACATTCGTTCCTTTCTATCCGCCTCACTCCATGCCCTCACCCACTGCTGCCCAAGCACTACTGTAACTAAGAACAGAGACACACGAGTTCACGGGACAGATCTAAACAATGTCTCAATATTCAACGTTATATTGATCGTTCTGGCAGTGGGACAGATGCATCACATCGCTTTTGCCTAGGGCAGCTTACTGCAGACTTTACAACAGAGCCATGTCCTGACTCCAGTCTGCTAAGGACATTTTCTTTCTTCCGTTGTACTCACTAGCAGTATAAACCCAGTCACCGCTTATGAAACATGACGGAAGCAGACAGCGGCTTTCCCAAAAACACAAACGTGGAAAACTCATCATGGAATTACAAAAATCCTTTGAGCATCAGAAAGTTCTTAAAAATGAATTTATTTGCAAGACATTGCTGCATTGATATACCTGGAAGAAGCAACGAACACTATGAAAATAATTACTTTAAAAGACGGCCCCAAACTCCTTTGCTCATACGCCTAGGGACTAGGATTGACCAGGATTTCATGCTTTGACAAGAGAACTCTATGAACTCCCAGATTTTCACTCACTTCAGTAAAACAGGTCTCTGAGGTGCTGCCAGCGCATCGCCATTCATTTGCCAAGATACATCATTGGCAGCAAACCTCAAAGTGCTCCAAAGCCTCACACACTGGAGCACAAATAACTTTACCATCCAGACCCAGGTGGATTCTCAAGCTGGCCCACTAGCTCTGCTTTTATAGTCAGAGATATGTCACCAGACGAGAGCCACGGCTGACCACAAACGCATTCTTGATTCCCTGAACAGCATCAGCCGCCAGGTGTTAGATTAATGCATCATTAGCAAAATACTGAGGTCTGGACTGAAGCTCAGTATAGCAGTCTGAGCCCTTCCAGAGAACTAACTGATATTCACTCATTCCATATGCAGAATCATCATGACTATGGATTAAAAGATGCTACTTTTAAAACCCAGCCTCACATGCCACAACGCAAAAGGAAAAAGGCAGTGCACATTTATTTTTTTAAATATTCTAACGTATATGGCCTTAAAGACAGCATTATAGTAGAATATTCCAGGCAGTTTGAGTCTTTTTAAAAGGCAATGAAAGACATGAGATAGGTCTAGATGAAGAGCTCCCATGTCTGAAAGCCACCATAATCAGAAGCGTCAGCATTTAGCTGGAGTACTCCTGTGTTTGGTAATACAGCCAGGCAGAACGCTGTCGCTCCCTCAGGCTTTATTTATTACACCACAGAGACCTCAGAAGGAATAGCATATTAGGAAATACACCATCACTGACAAGGTACACATTTCCTATTACTATCCTTTCAAGCTATTGAAAGCAAAAGTTGGATCTCATTTTTGCTTTTTCAGAGAGATGCATCAAGCACCTTTGTTACAGGCAAACAAAAAAAAAAAAGCCCAACCACTGACTCGTAACACAAGGAACATGGTGTACACCCATTTCTTTGAGCTATAAAACTGATTTAAAAAAATCGTGATACTAAGGTCTTAAATAGT